AAGCCTGTGCGTTGCGTTTGCCACGGACCACCGTAGTCTGCAGCTTAGTAGCCTCGTTCACTGGACCCGCATCGACCTTTGTTAAAAAGGTGCGTGGAAACAAATCCGAAGCTGATCCAGTTCGCAACCTGACAAGCACCCATCGTTCGTGACATTGCTTAGGATTATGCTAGTTTAGTAAGTTTGCATCCTCATCTCTAGCCCTCATGTCTCTGTAGTTTTCGTTCGCCACCTAAAGCTTCTCCGGCAGTCGTGATTATTTTGTTGGGAGCGGAGGGACACGTTGCCCCCCATGCAGCAGTGGCTGTCGCACACGTCGGCGCCAGGAGTCCCGACGTCAGACCGCCGACGCCTCGACCTAGTGGTGTACGGCACGTCGCCCCAGGGCCTCGCCCTGTGTTGCGATGCCACGCTGGTCAGCCCCATCACCGGAACGAGCACCCCTCATACTCCAGGCATCGCCTTGCGCATGGCCGAGAGCCGCACGCGCAACCTACCCGGAGTTGCAGCGCGGCGGCGGCCAACACCTCTTCGTCCTTGCTGGTGCTGGAACGCCCGCCGACTCGCAGGCGCTTGTCCGACAGCTCGTCCGGGTCCGGGCTCTGCGTGCGCCACCTGCCCTCCGAGCTGCTGCCTCCACAGCCTGGACACGCAGCTGGCGGGGCATGCTGCAGTGCAGGCGGCACGGCCCTGGGAGCGCCGTGGCTGGTCTCCAAAGGCGCCGCTGCCTGCGAACCTGGCTTGGACCACGTGCTGGCGCTCGCTGAGCCAGCTGGCCCGGACGCGCCCATCCCGATGGGCCGCACGACTCCGTCACACGCACAGCTGCCTGCTTCGCCGGAAAAAAAAAGATTATTTTGTTTCGTTTCATCCTGTTGTCATCGGTAGCTTCATGCTCAAGACAAGCAAAAAGGAAGATTTTGTATGAGACAATTTTCTGAACAACATTACTGTTGATATTGTTGTCGTTTGTAGCATTCGTGCTCAAGAATGGCAAAGGCAAGCATAGACTCCAGATTAACTTTCAGCAAGACATCCATATGGAAAAAGATGAAGGTGCGAGGGGCTGAAGCCCTCGTTCGCACTTAATGCGGAGATGCAGTTCGTTGTCTTCATGTCGTTTTGATTGTCAATATCCAAGTATTCTGTAGATCGTTCGTTTCGTTTCATCTTGTTCCATTTTCATATCCAGTTACGACGACACCAGACTGGACGACAAAGACATGACCGTCTCACAAGCATGGTTGACGGTCCGACGAAAAGTGCCATGCTTGTGACTGATATGGATCAAAGTTGCTTGATCCACGTATCTGCAGAGCTGCGACTGAAGAGCTTTGAGGTTCCCAAATATTGAAAAGTCGTGTATTGCATTTAAATTTGATTTTTGTGATCTTTGTTGAGGTTTCACAGGCTCCCATCAAGTACATGTTTTGTTTACAAATCAAAAGAGGCACAAAGATGTCTCACGTGTCGATGAATCTTGTACATACATAATTGTGGCCTCCAGGTTCCACTAAAATCCACGAGAATGTTGTACGGCATCTAGTTTCTTACTTTGCCCTGAACCTACAGGTTCCCGGATGTTTCGACTTGCAGTCACTAAACCTGTAGCTTGTGGTGTTGCTGTAAAAGTTAAGACACTTGAAGTTTAAGACGACTTTATCTGATTTTAATCTCTTGTCTGGCTGCTCTGTTTACAATCGGTTTCAACCGGGTTTGTGTGTGCGGAAATCCTGTATGTAAGGCCTTTGAGTGTAAAGTTGGTAGACACAATTCTCTACAAAATACCTTTCGGATGACCGAAAAGAAAAGCAGGGGGCTGGCAGCTGGCAGCCTATTCCGTGATGCCAGCCAACGAAGCTAGTGGAATAGGTGGAAGGAGCTATGGACGCATAGCTCTGTACCCGCGAAAGGAAGATAGAGAAAGGAGGATACAACCGGCATCGACCGGGATATGCAAGTGTGTGTGTGTGTGTGTGTGAAAGCTTGTGTGCGAGCCCCAGTCGCACGAGAACGAAATCCCGTGCCGCTCTGCGCCCGTCTGTCGGCCAACGCTGTCAGCTGAACAGGCAGCACTCCCATCAACCGGAAATAATCGGTGTTTGCGGCGATCCGTATGCTGCCTGCCCCGTATCGGTCTGCTCGCCCGGCGAGCCAAGCCGCTGGAGTATGCTTGGATCCGGGTCGTGTGTGAGGCTGTCGGGCCGGGGGGCTGGGTCGTTCCGCATGACGCCTGCCCCTGGTGTCGGACGATCGCTGGCGCTTCGGCTTCGTAGCCCATGGCGCCACACAGCTCGGCGAGGCGCTGTGCTGCGATGTGACTATGGTTTCGGTCTGTCTGGGCGCTTACGCGCGAAGGGCGCCCACAACCCTCCGCAACCACCAGGGATGGTGCTGCCGATGCTGTCTGCCGAGAAGAGCTGCCCGATCACCGCAGCCGACATGGCATGAAGGCGCCCTGGAGGTCGCCACCACCTCGTTTTCGAGGTTTTGCCACACATCATCGCCACCCACTGCTTGTTATGAGGGCATCGGGGTTTGGGTGTCTGGACACATATCAATCCGGCCGTAAGCTCTGATAGGCAAGTGGTCCTCCAACGGCTCGTCACAAAGAGCTAACCCCATCCAAACATTGGAGACTGTCGACGCTGTCGCCACTCCATATGCGATCTTGCCCTCAGTGAAAGTGAGTGACACTGGTGAAGAACGTTGTTCACGCAACAAGAAGTTTTCTCATTAGTGGCCTGCCATTAGCGCTGCCACTCGTTCTTGTTCCAGTTGCTGTGCAGCTTGCCGAGGCCCCTTCCGTGATAGGATGGAGTGTGGACCCGAGAGCACCATGGAAACATTTCTGGCCGTTTGTGTTGTTGCTTTATTGTGAATGTGACTTTTCCTGGGCGTATAGATATTTCAAGCGTCCGGGCTGCAGAGCAGCCGAGGCCTTGGCCCTTGGAGTGCAGCGTGTTCTTTTCAAACTTGTCGTGCCCTTCTGGGGGCATATTCTTGGTTCCATGTGCCGCCGTAGCATAGTTCATCAGAAGGTACGACACCACTGCCCCACTGACTTGTTACTTGTTGGACTCGGTCATCTGGGTAGTAGCTAGCCAGCGACCGCTGCATGCCAGGCTGGATATTTGCGCCGCTTTTTCTCCAAAGTCGGCGAAGTCCAGTACGTAGAGCGACTTTATCGAATGTTGCTTTTGCATTGGGCTTTTAGCTCGTATTTTTTTCGCTTGTTTGCTTGTCTGCGTGCTCATGTTGAAGCTTAGTCTATAAGGCTGTATGAAACTTCACGTGCCGGCCGCAGATTCGTCAGCAACACTGGGCCTGTTATAGAAAATTTTGTTCCGAGGTGGCACTTCCATTGGTGCAGGTGTGGTAACATTCTTGACGCCGGAAGGTGCAAGCCGAGCTGCCGCACACTCGATGTTTGTGTGGTCTAGCGATAAGGGCGGCGCCATGTGGCCATCGAGGTTACAGAGCTGGATGCGACTGAAGTGGATGGCCGACCCATCTTGGTAAAACCAAACGAGCGTTCACGGCTTGGGTTTGACGCGCCTAAGTAATTCAAATGGGCAACACACAGATTCGCTTGTTAAGGCCATTCTCGCAAAGGCGGTGGGAAAGGTCTCCGAGAAGTGCGATGCACGGATATGAATGCTTTCATGATGATGTTGCACGATATGGCCGCGCATCAAGAAGAACAAGACCAAGGCCCGCATCTTCTGGGACGGTGTTCCGTATTCCACCAACGAGGGATTCTTGCGTCGGTGTCAAAGCATTCGTGTCCTCTGCAAAGTAATCCGCACTTCCATCACGGTTCTCCAAGGAAGATCTTTCGAGCAGCCTAGCTGATTTATGTGCCGTCCAAGATGTCGTTGGCTGCCGTCGGGGTGCCGCACGAACGAGGCGGTATGGGGACATCATTGATTTCGATTTCTGGAGAAGAAAAGACGGACGCGAAGACCTCAATTTGCCAACGAGCCCTTGCCACGGTCGTTTCATCCTTTTGCAGGTTCTCACGGCATGGGCTGGAATCCCAGTTTTGTGGGACAGCTGCATGCCTGCAGGGTGTTCTTGCCAGGCACGTGTACCTACAGCCGAGTGGATGAGGCAGAGCGCGAGACTGTGAGGTTGAACAAGGCAAAACCACCGCATCGCCAGGCAGAAGCAGCCATTGAGAGCCTCAATGGCAGTACCATAGACGGGAGAAGTATCTTAGTGCGGAAGGCCGCGAATGCCATTCCTTACTTCTTTGCACGTGTGTACATCTTTGCATCAGGATGAGAAAAGACCTGGGCCTGGACCCAAACCGGCAGAAGAGGAAGAAGGAGCCGGACAGCGCCTGTCTGCTCGCAGTTCTCGCACGAGCGGTTCCGTGTCTGCTTCATTGAACCCTACAAACTTGTTATCTCTTCCGTGCAGTCTTGCGACCGGCCCGAAGCCGCGGCAAAGGCGCGTTTCCATTGACGCGTATACGCGCAGCGCAATGCCATGTTGGGCTGAAATCGAGGCAATGAGGACGATGCTGGAGATGGCACCAAAGCCGGAACCCCTCGCTTTTCCTCGTGCGGCAGCGGCTTCGGGGCCTGACAAGGTGTTTTGGAGTGGTGTCCCAATTGGCACCACGGAGGGTTTTTTGCGCAGTCAGCCGGTACCTTAGCGCGTGGATTGGATGTCCGAAAAGCGAAAGGTGGCATCCTGGTGGCACGCATTGCCAGGTTTGAGAGAGTGGGGACAATTGTAGACTTCGACTTCTGGCGAAACCAGGCCTGCAACGTTGAGTTGAGCCCTGTCTCGCGGAGATGTTTGCAAGTTTGGAAAACAACACTCTTGCAGGATGGCAGCTCCCTGGGAAAGGGAACTTGTAGATTCGACCACTTTCGAGGGGCTCAGCAGCAGCCTCAGCTTGCATCGGGACGCGACCGGACCTGCGTGTGCGGTGTGTCTGCTGCCGGGTTTGTTGCCCTGGGTGGAGGCGGGCGCTGCAGCGCCTCCACGGCTATTCAATCGACGGTGGCATCATGATGCTGAAAGAAGACCAGGGAGGCAACAAAGGCGTGCTGCTGTAATGGATCAAGTTTCACCGATTCTTCGTGGGATGGTCTCGTCAGTTTAGGATCTGAGAACAAATTTCACGCGTTACCTCCGAAGCCAATGGCGGGCAAGAACCTGGCAAAGCTTGAGCCCAGCTCGCACTTGGTCAGTCGTAGAATTGGGTATTGCTGAGAGTTTGAAAAGGGACAGCACGAAGGATGTGAGATGCCCCTAAGCCTCTTGTGTTCGGATGCTGTGCAGACGCCCTCGTTGACTGAACAGCCCAGAGGTCAGTCAACAGCTCGGTCAGTGCGGTCAGCAAGCTGTTGCAGAAGTGGGTGCGGTTTTCGAATCCTTCCTGAAGTTTGGGGTACCTCAAAAGGCGGGCGAGTTCTCGGCACATACTCAGTATGTACATGTACGTACGTAGTATGTAGGTGGGTATGTACCTGTGTAATTACGCATGTCATAGGTAAGAAGGTATGCATGTATGATCATGTATGTATGCGAAATTATGTATGAATGCATGCATGCATGCATTGCGTGCGGAGGGATAGATGGAGATATGGATATGGATATAGAGACTCAGCAGTCTTCGGCCTTGCAGCACTTCTCAAAGCACAGAGCAGACGACACACACACATACATATATATATATATATATATATGTATGAGAATTGTTGGCATATGTATGTTATCAATATATCATATATCATAAGTATATGTCTCCTAATTATCGGCTTGG